GCAGAATTCAGATTTGCATTTTCACTGACAATTGAACCCTGAAACCATCAATTCACTGCACAGTGTAAATCGCAATACTGTAAAGCAGTCTCAGATGAAATTTGAGCCAGATAGGATGTCAAACAGGGTTAGTAGAGGTCAAAGAAGATAGGTAGGAAAAGTTGGATATGGCTGTCCCACAGTCTGAATTTCGATTTTCAACTGTCACCTCCAGACCAAATTTCGCTATTCTAAAAATAGCCCCAGAATCGCCATACAGGATAGAGTAAGGAACACACTCACTTCAGGGTCAACTCTGAAGAAGATGCATGGAATCTTGGCTATGGCTGAATAGTCAAGCCTGTCTCGCCAGTTTCTCCTCCTGACAATATACAGTGCTCCCACGTACAGAATCCTTCCAAACTTGGTGATCTAGTAGAGTTCCCTGAGGCGCTTCACCCCCAACTGACAGATTCAGCGAATTTAGACTCCCAGGTGCTGATAACTGCTCCAGACAGTACAGCGCCAGCGCTGATTGGAAATTGGGGATTCTGACCCAATTCCAAAATCGCAATCTCCTGAGATCACTTCCCTGACAATCGCCAACCTCCAGGTGAATCGCCATGCTAAAATTAGCCTCCCAGAGCCTTCTGGGCCTCTGGATTATCAATCGCCACTCACTCCTGCATAACCCTAGCCAGGAGTGTGTCACCCTCTGTCTGTTTCTTCTCACCACACACTCACAACCACCACCCTACTGACAACAACCCTGAAGATGATGAATCGCCATGAAGCTCAACTCCAGTATCTCGCCAGATGATGATGGGTGCTCCAACTCATCAATCGCTCCAGAGTCTGGATCCAATTGCTCCGATACCAACTGTTATGATTCTGGTTGTTCGTTGCCTGATGGCCAACACTCACCCACATAAACTTTTGCACATGCCCATACATACACAGATGGAAGGGGAGAGGATAGGAGTATCACACCACACGGGGAGAGATAGACACAGCGGAAGACTTGACCATGCAATATGACAGGGTACACTGAAAGTGCAATTCACTCCATTCAATCCTCACAACCAGTCATAGAGAAAAGCCGAGCAGATCACATCCAGGAAACAATGAAACGAGGATAGTCCAAACACAGTTACACACTGTTTATTAAACTCAGAGTCTCGAAATGTCAGGATCACTCCAGAACTATAGTGCGCTGCTCAGAATTCAGCAGCGCTTCACTCTTCAACCGTGGTAAACACATGTAACACCCCCTGAGCCCTGAAACATCAAGCGCCACCCACATACAACCTCCTGGGGGCAGCGCTACCCTAAAACAGGCCTCTGAGGCCAAGCGCCACTCAAAGGATGAAGAAGAAGACCAGCGCCACAGTATCTGATGATGACGAAGTGTCGGGAGGCTTCCACCCGACACTTCACTCTACAACCTACAGCAGCGCCACCAAACCCTGGCTAGATGAACTCTGAGATGAAGAAGCTGCAGCTATGGCTGCAGCGCAGACCCTCTGGGACCCCACTCCGGAGGAGGGTCCAGCAGGGCACCAATCTCTCTCGCCTCCAGCAGACCTCGATAACCCAGACCTCTGTCAGCCCCTACGTGCCGGCAGAGTACAGCTCAGGTCCCAGCTATGGCATGCGCTCCGAAGGTCTGGCTATGCCCGTCTTCTTCCACGTTGAGCCGTCACCACTACCGGTTCACACGCAGCGCAGCAGCGATGTACACGGTACCAACTGCCAAAAGCCCTGAACCGATGTGCCCATCCTACTTCTAGCCTACACCGACCTAGACCGGACTCACTGACTGACCGGTACCGTATCTCTTGCGGCCTCTCGGCCTCTACCGGACCCGGCTATAGGCTATAGGACYGTCTATTCAGAATAGGCCCATAGGGCCTKTCTGTCTAGGGGTAGCCCGGGCCTGCTATCCGCAGTTAGGGTAGCTGTAGGGAATCAAGTTAGTACCGGGCCTGTATTTTCCCGGATTTGCAGATATGTCCCTCAAGAATTTCCCTCACAGGTAGGTCTCTCGGTTAGCCCTCAGCCAAACAAAATTAAGAATCTATCCTACCTGTAGTACAGCCTCGACAGAGAGAGGCTACAGGCGACCAGAAAACAGCAAGTCATTGCACCTTGCTATCTCCATCGCCAAATCCCTGTCGGGTGAGGTACCTTCCTGCGATGTATCCCTTCCACCCCGTCTCTGAGCGGATTCCTCCGTGACAATGCTTATGTTCTGGCTTTTGAATTCCACGACTGCTCCATTGTTCAGGCTGGTTGAGAGGGGGGGCTGAATTTCAGAACTGGTTGGAGGATCGCCTGTTCGTTCCGTTGACCGGGGGATGGATCTTTTATTTTTCATGCTGACTGGTCTCACATAAGGGTTCATTGAAAGGCTTTTGTTCAGATTATGCCTCATTGCTCCTCGGAAGTATATTAGAGACCGTGCTCCCCCGACCCTCTTATTTCATTTCTCCATATTCTGATGCGCCCCTTCCACCTTTTGGTTTGCAGGAAGAAGCACCTGTGCTGCCTGTGTTGAGGGCAATTGTTTTCTGCCTGTGCTGCCCTCGTGGTTGTGAATTGTATGGGCGCTTCTTCTCTTTTTCGAATATTTTATTGTCTGGTATATTCTCCTCTTTTTTTTCTTTTTTTTTTTGGTGTACGTGCCGGAGCTGGCTTTTTGAGGAAGCGGAGGCAGTGGGGGGAAGCGGGGAGCAGATTTACATGGAAGCAGGGGAAGGAGAGGAGGGGGGGGAAGAAGGGAATACCTGTCCTGCTTCGTCTTCCGGTCAGTTGAGGGTGATTACTTTCCCACCCCCCTCTGTTCTCTGTCGCACACACTGCCGCACCCGCCCCACGCTCTCCGATCTGGTACTGATATTTTTCGCACCTCTGCCACGTCGTCACTGGCCTAACCACAAACTGGTAGGTTAGCTCCCACAGCAGCTTGACTCTCTATTTCCCATCCCGTCGCTGTCTGCCTATTTACAGACCTTCCGTCGACACGTGTCCTTCTGAGGCCATTCGTTGCTCCCCGCAGCTCATCTACTCTTCATGTATGCCCCCCCTGCCCTGTCACCACTGTACCACCGTACCCTGCCTCTTGTCCTCCTCTATTTGACCGCCACTCTCCTGGGATGCCGATCCTTCGCGCCGGCTTCTTCCTGTCCTCTCAGCTCGTGGTGCACCGGCCTGTTGCTTTCGCCCTCTGCCACGTGTTCTCTGTCGCACACGCCCCACGCTCTCCGCGCACCTCTGCCTCAGATCGTGAACCGGACGAAACCTGCTACTGGGACAATCAAGCTGAAGCCCTCGCCGTCTTCATCACAGAACTGCTGAAGACTGCTTCCTCACCGACACTTCTGCGACACCCTCCAAGACCTGTCTTCAAGACTTTCTCAACGGACCACTACACAGAACTTGCAACCTGTACCCAAAACCCCGACCCTCAGCAACCCCGGCCCCGGACATTGCAAGGCAATTTTCTATTTTTTAAGGATCACATAACCCTCCGCCCCCCTGAACCCCCTAGCTCAGCAGTAGGATTACCCTGTTCCCCGTTATTCCCAACCCCTTAGTTCATCAGTAGGATTACCCTGTTCCCCGTTATTCCCAACCCCTTAGTTCATCAGTAGGATTACCCTGTTCCCTGCAGTTCCCTTAGCTCATCAGTAGGATAACCTTGTTCCCCTGCAGTTACCAGTCACTAGTAGGATAACCCTGTTCCCAGTTCACCGGCAATAAACCCTGTTCCCTCTTACTCCCCAGCCCATGCCATCCACATTATACCCCTCTTCGCTTTCGACATGATGACCAGTGATCGGCCCCGTCCCATCCTTCACAGACTTCAGCGGGAACGTTGCCTTCTAGAGGGAGGGGATAATGTTACGGACTCAGCCAGGGCTCGATCCCTGGTCCGCGGGTTACCTACCCGCCAGCCTACTATTTTTATTTTTTATTTTTTTTTCAACATGAACAAAAAGGAAATTTCCCGATTTCAACACACATTCCCAAACATCCAACTTAAACTACATTGGCCTCTAAGACTATCTCGCACCGCCTTGTTGGATGAAATAAATGCCTTGAGCTTTCAATGGATCGAGGGAAGAGAAGCAGAACAGGTAAAACCGAACCTCGTCGCCACTTCCTCGGCAAACATCTAAAAATTTGGACTATTTCTCGATTTATGTGTGTCATCCTTGCGCAGGGGTTTTATTTTTTGTTTTCTTGTTCTTATTTTTTTCTGCTCTCCGGTTCTGACTGTTGGCGCCCTCTGCAGTTGGCGTCCGTTCTCAAATTCCTCCTTTGGCACTTTCGAACTTCGAGACTTGACGCCATCCGGCATTCCGGTGCCCAGACTCAGACCTTCAATTTTCAGTTCAGCCCGGAGGCAAATTGCACCTCTGCCCTCGGGACTGAACTTGAGTCCGGTACTTAAGACCGGACTCAAGCCCAGTACGGGCATTCAGTTTTCGGCCTCAGTGCTTGTGCTTCAGTGTGCTGGGACGTTGTGTTCGGAATCCAAGATTGCAGCTTTGCGACTTTGCTTCTTTGTGTCTGCGTCCGTTGTGTCGAGTTGAGTGAGTGTGTGTGTGTGCCCACACTCTCTCCCTCTCTCTCCCCCGGCCTCAGTTCTCTGCCTCCACCTGGTCACACCAGCGACCTGGTCCCACAGGCCGCACAGCCAAACAGCCCTGGCTATAGGCCAGGTTAAATAAAGGCCCGCTGCATACAGGATCCAAAAAAGAAAAAAAACTAAACTCAGGAACAACTTGCAAATGGCACGTTGAGTCAAAAGAAGGCAAAAAAAAAAAAGAGCAAGGCACAGAACCCTCCCGCCGCTATGTACTTGCATTCGAACATGTGACGAGAGGCTAGCAGATGCGCCAGCCAATGCGCCGCCCTCTGCACGGCAGGCCCAAGAGGGAAACAGCGTCTTCCCAAGAGTGGCAGCCAGACCTCGCAGGAGCGTCGCGCGAGACCGGCTGCACGCTTTAGTAAGAGTATAGGTATAGAAGACAAAAAGTATGGCAGTGTATCTTACCATGTCATCCCGCTATGCATGGGTCCTCACTCCGCTGCTATCTGAATGTGCAACATGAGACTGAATCCTCCCCTGGAACATGGAAAGAATCTGAGCGAATTGTGGTAGGAATTGTCCATGTTCTGGCGCAGCATTCATTCTCATTTTGCACATTTGGAGAGTGGTGGAGCAAGGTTCGTTGGCGATTTCATGTCTGCCGCTGCAGGGGGGGAGGGGGGGGGGGGGGGGGGGGGGGGGGGGGGAGAGGAGGAGCGGGTGTCTGCTGCGGCCGCATGCCCTTGTTCTTTGAATTGCAAAAGAGTTGATAACGATGATTGAACGATTGCTATTTTTGCAGTCATTTGTGGATTTCCACAGACTTTTGTTATTGTTGTGATCAGTATGTCACTATTGTGGATGACGGGACCAAAGACAAGATTTATGTTGTATTCAAGCTGATGGAAGAATTCATAGAAGTGACGAGAAAAGAGGGCTCGCTACCAAATGTTGACTTTGCTTGCAGTAAAGAGGATGTTTTTGGTAATCCGACTCATTACTCAAAAACAACAGAAGAAGAAAAAGGGGATGGGGTGAGGAGAAAGGGGGGTTGCTAGAACAACCACCGCTAAAACAACCATGGCGTGGTGAACTCATGGATTGCAGTGCACGTGTGTGGCATCTAGCAAGGGAACCTTCCCAAACAGCAGAAAATTTTGGGCACCATGACTGCGTCTTCAGCAATGACAGCGGAGTGATGGTGGGTGCTGTTCTTTATGGACATACAGCAAGACTGTGGGATGCCTTTGTTACACCAGAGGTAGGTTCCCTTCAGCTCCAGGTAGTCATAACATCTTCATCCAGTTCTTATGACATCTGACCTGTCAGTAAAATTTTCCTGTCCTTATTCCCTCCCCTTCCCTCTCCTCCCCCTTCTTCCCCACCTTTCCATCCCTCTTCCCCCTTCTTCCCTACCCTTACAACTGTCCTCCTCCTCCACGTCATCATTTCTTTTCCCTCTCTGTTCTCTTCCCGCCCTCTCTCCTTTGTTCCTCTCTCTCTCTCTCTCTCTCTCTCTCTCTCTCTCTCTCTCTCTCTCTCTCTCTCTCTCTCTCTCTCTCTCTCTCTCTCTC